AAAAAAAAAAAAAAAAACCCTAGGCAGAGAGAAAGAGAAGGAGAAGAAATTCTCTATTTCCTTATTGAATCAAATCCCCTCTCACATAAAATCGATCAAACGGACGAAAGCTGCCATATTCCTTCCATCAGGAATCGAAAATGGTGATGAAAAGAGATAAGAAGCACTCCACCTTACCACCTCCTTTATATCGTGAGTTCTCTTTCTTTTTTTAATTTGAATTTTGACAACATGTGGTCCTTGAATGTTGGTTTTATATTGTAATGTTGATGTTGGTATTTGATTATTAAATTAGGTTTGTGTTATGGTCCTGTTTTGGTTTTTGTATCATAAATTTTATGTGTTATTTTTTGAATTAATTGGAACTTTCTTGTCCCACAGACCTGGGTTCAACTTTCATTACTGTGGTCCTGCATCATGGAGTGTATTCCAAAACTTTTACAGCTTAAAGTACATTGGAGGTTTAAGAACTGTTCTTGACTATGTGGGAAAGGTAAACATAGACTTAAAACACTTCAATATATGGGCTGAAGAGATTATAGGTTCTGGTCAGAAAAAATTTTATGTTAGTATAAATGGTGTTTTAAATCTTGTCAACAGTGATAGTGATTTGCTTGTGGGTTATGAGAATGCCTTGTCTTGTAGAGAATTGCATGTTTATGTAGAAAACCATGTCAATGAAGTTGCAGATTCTATTGATAGTGAATATAGTTTAGGGAGTGACTCTGAAAATGATGATGAGCTATTGATCACAATGTTGATAATGTAACTTCAGTTGAACATTCTGTTGATGGAACTACTTCTAGTGTGGGTATATCTATTGAAAGACCAACAAGGGAAGATGTTAGGGATTTTGATAGGGATTCTGTTGGCTCATCTAGAGAATCTGATAGTGATGGGTTTCTGAGTAGTGAGGATGACGTTGTGGATGACAAAGATGACTTTAATGAGCATAGGTTGTCTGATGATGAGGCAGATGGTGAATCAGCCCCTTTATTTAATGTTGCTCAGATTTATGATCCCACCTTCAAACTTGGGATGTTGTTTAGCAGCAGAGCTGAATTCAAAAAAGCAGTTGATTCTTATGCTATTAAGATCAAAAGGACTTGAAGTTTACTAAGAATGATAAGTACAGAGTTTATGTGAAATGTGGTTATGAAGATTGCCCTTGGATGATTAATTTGATTCAGGTGAAGGACTCAACCTCATACAGGATTCACAAATTTCTTGATGACCACAATTGTCCTCCTACATTTGATGTAAAAAATGTGAAAGCACCTTGGCTGACAGGTAGATATCTTGATGATTTCAAGACTGATCCAAACAGAAAAGTGAAGCTATGGAGGAGGGAAATAGTTCACAAGCTTGGTTGCCATGTTTCTAAGTTTCAAGCTTATAGGGCTAGAAGAAAGGCATTAAAGATTGTGGAAGGGTGCTTTACTATCAATTCACCAAAATGTGGTATTACAGAGAAGAACTTCTTAGATCAAATCCTGGTTCTACTGTTATTTTCGGTACTGATGATGCTGAAAATGGTGAGAAGAGGTTCAATAGATTCTATGTTTTCTTCAGTGCACTTAAGAAAGGTTTTAAAGTAGGTTGTAGGCCAATCATAGGAGTTGATGGTTGTTTCTTAAAAGGGCCTCATAAGGGAATTTTACTCACAGCTGTTGGTGTTGATCCAAACAATAATAACTACCCTCTTGCATATGCCATTGTGTCTTCAGAAAATGGGGAGACTTGAGAGTGGTTTTTGATTCTCTTGAAGAATGACCTAGAAATACAAAACCAGCAAGATTGGGAGACTGAAATCTTTTGATTTGCAATTATCTCACATTGAAAAAAAAAGTTGAAATGCAAGAAATGACTATAAATGTTGTAGCAACTTGCATTAATAATTATTAACCGGTTTCTAAATTATATATTTTTTAAAATATTTATTTTTTTATAAAAGAAAAATTGGCCCGGCAACGGCCGCAACTGGTCGGCTGAGCGAGTTGCGGCTGCTATTAGGGGCCTACCGAGTGAGTTGCGGCCGCAATTAGCGGCTGGCCGGCCCTGAAAAAAAAAATATTTTATATTTGAAAAGGGCAAATTTGTCTTTTAGGGGGGAGGTATTTAGTAAAAAGGTGGGCGGGAGAACAAATAAAAAAAAATATACGTATTTTGTTTTG